TGAACGCGTGCTCATGTCGAGGAGTCGCACGGGCGCCCATGTTAAAACGAAGAAGATCGCGTGCCCGAACCCTTCCTCCTACCTGACGCCCCGACTCGCCAGAGCATCCCGCGCCTTTCACCCCCAGCACAAAGGCCGCCTGCGCGACCCCAGATATCTTCCGCCGCGATTCCCTTAGATGGCCGAGTACTCGGTCTACCCCAGGGGAACCGGCAATACCTTCTATCCGCAACACACACAAAACATACGCAACCTCCCCAGCCGAGTGCGCTCACCCACGTCTACCGCCCGCATACCCTTCCCCAACCCCGACACCCCCTCGCCGTCACGATCTCCTGGACGCCAGTCGTCTCCCCAGCAGTTCGGCATGTTCAACCAGGCCCATGGGCACCAGGGCCACAACGTTATGATGAACGGGCGAGCAGGGCAGCAGAACTTCATGCAGCACATGAACCTGGGGAAGCCCTTCCAACACAACCAGCACCACCAGAACCAGCACCAACATCACCAGCAGCACCAGGACATCTCCGGAAACAATCATGTCGGCCAATTCAACCACCAGCACAACATCTCGAGTGGGGGTATGTCCAACGTGCAGCCCCACTTTACGCCGGGCCATCTCCAGAACGGCACACCAAACAGCGTTCATAGTGGACTCAGCAAACCACCAACCGAACACTGGCAAGAGCAATTGAAGCTGCACCAGACCGCGCGTGAAATGACGCAGGCCCACTCACACGCTCGAATCCACCCGAGCGTTAGTAAGAGCATCGTAGCGGGAACATCAAACGGGATGCAAAAAGAGACGGACAAAGAAGAGCGCAATAGGCCTGCTGCTCAGCGGGTGGAGGATGCCAAGGACCAACATATTTGGACAATTCTCGATTTCGGCGGCCAGAATCTTAAAGTCATCACGCCAGCCTTGTTTGCCTACACTTTCCTGACCAAGCTCTACCTCAACTCCAACAAGCTCACCTACGTGCACCAGAAGATTGGACAGCTGCGGAACCTCACTCATCTCGATCTGTCCCTGAACAATCTGCAATATCTACCCCCGGAGATTGGCATGCTAGTGAACCTGAAGCAGCTGCTCCTATTTGACAACCATATCGAGAATCTGCCATACGAACTAGGATCCTTGTATCAACTGGAAATGCTGGGTATCGAGGGTAACCCTATTCCGGACGATCTGAAACAGATCATAATGGAACAAGGCACCACGGAACTTATCAAGCACTTCCGCGAGAACGCACCGGGTCCAGAGGCGCCACCAGAGCGAGACTGGATTGTCCTCGATGAGGTTCAAGACACGGCACAAGAGACTGTGAGCGCGCTCAGCTACAACATCTTGTGCGACAAATACTGTACGCAATCACAGTACGGATACACACCGAGTTCAGCATTGGCCTGGGAGAGTCGCAGGGAGCTCATTCTTGCTGAACTGCGGGAGCGCGACGCAGACATAGTGTGTCTGCAAGAAATCGATCAAGATAGTTTCAACGAGTTCTTCCGAGCAGAGCTGGCGCACAACGACTACAAGGGAGTATTCTGGCCGAAATCACGAGCGCGTACCATGGCAGAAAGGGAAGCAAAGCTGGTCGATGGGTGTGCCATCTTCTACAAGAACAGCAAGTAAGTTGTTATCCGTTTCGTCTTGCGGAACCCCACTAATCAGTCCAGGTACATCCTGCTGGACAAGCAGCTCATCGACTTTGCCAATACAGCCATCAACCGTCCGGATATGAAGGGCGAACACGATATCTTCAATCGAGTCATGCCCAGAGACGATATTGGCGTTGTTGCTTTCCTCGAAAACCGTGCTACTGGTTCCAGATTCATTGTCGGAAACGTACACGTCTTCTGGAACCCTGCGTTCCAGGATGTCAAGCTTGTGCAAGTCGCCATCTTGATGGAGGGTATCACCAAGCTTGCAACTCAATGGACTAAGCACCCGGCCTGCAAGAACAAGGTGGTGTACCAGTTCACGAATGGCGATAGCGAAGAAGGAGCCGAACCCGACCCGACAAAAGAGCCTGGACCTTCCAAGGAATACTCTGATCCTTCCGATATCCCCGTGTTGCTTTGCGGTGACTTCAACTCGCTGCCATCCTCCGGTGTCTACGATCTAATCACACATGGCAATGTTTCGAATGCTCACGTGGATCTGGGAAGCCGCAAGTATGGTAACTTCACACGAGACGGTATATCCCATCCATTCAGTCTCAAGTCCAGCTACGCGTCTATCGGCGAGTTGGCGTTTACGAACTACGTACCTCACTTCCAAGGAGTCCTGGACTACATCTGGTACTCGACAAACACACTGCAGGTGGTAGGTCTGCTTGGCGAGATTGACAAGAACTATCTCCAGCGGGTACCGGGTTTCCCCAACTACCACTTCCCCAGTGACCACGTGGCCCTGTACGCGCAATACATTGTCAAGAATCGCAAAGAGGCGAAGAAGGTGTCCGAAGTCGACTTTGGGCCAAGCCGGGATCGAAGGAATTGATCGGCTTAAGGTCGTTTGGCCTCCGGGCATGTCAATACGCTTTCTGGTGCAGCAATCTCCGTCGTTTTCAGGCGTCATTTGCTCGGTGTTCGGTTGCTACGGTTCGCTCGCGTCCTTTGCGGGCTTCACGATGGAGATTTAGTTTTGGTAACGAGGTGAATCGCTCGATAGACGGTGCGCGGTCTGATCACTTGGGAGGTATGAGCAATGCCGGCGGTTAGTGCATGAATCTTGTATCATGTTTGTTGTTAGTGTCTGGAACATGTTTCCCTTGGTAGCCTGACGATGGAAGGACCACTACTCTCTTTTTCAACGTGCGAAGCGTTTGGCTGTCTGTGGCTGGTGTTTATCGGCATGGGATGTTTGATCTATTTTCTGGGTTCGTCTTGCGTTCATCTTTTCTGCAATGTATCAACTAGGTAGCTCCTTCAAAAAGGCCTCGTCGCCTGCACTCGAGCAGGTCTGACTACGGTTTTACCGTTCAACATGTCCTCGATGCACGTGTGGTGTAACGTGGTTGCGTGAGGAACGCTGCGTGAACATGGCTTTCGGACCACAGATGCGTCATGGGGCAGCGTCAACGGCCACAATTCGCTGGAATGAGCCGTCGAGGAGGATGAGGGGAAGGGGTCTCGCTTGACCGCCGCGGCAGGGACCCACTTAGTTGACATCGACGTGCGCTCCTCGACAACTTCGTCCAGGCCGCGCAACACGCAATTACCTCCCTCCTCCCTGTACATCTCGAGCCACCTCTCTTCTCGTACACTCTAGACACAATGGCTGCTGCTGCGACGAGCGAGCTGAAGCTCGACCCCAAGTACGACCACTACGACTTTCCCACCGTCGCTCCCACCGCCCAACCAGGACACCCAGGCCACACAACTCCAGAGCAAGATGCCCAGGTCTTCCAGCTGAGAACCCAGCTGGAGCAGTCCGGCCACACCAAGAACCTCGACACCCTGACTCTGGTATGCTCACCGCTTCTCCTGCGGGTGCAAAGGCCTCAAGCTAAACAATCTACAGCTGCGGTTCCTCCGCGCGCGAAAGTTCAATGTCGAGCTTGCGAAACAGATGTACGTACATGCAGCATGGGGACATTGTAGGAGAATGGCTGGAATGTATGCTGACAGTCACCAGGTTCGTTGACTGCGAGAAGTGGAGGGCCGAGTATGCTGGCGTCGGCGTTGAGGAGCTCGTCCGCACCTTTGACTACAAGGAGCGACCCGAGGTCTTCAAGTTCTACCCCCAGTACTACCACAAGACGGACAAGGTACGTGGCTTTTACTTGGGCTGAGAGCTCAGCCCAGATCTGACCAACAAAACCTCTGACGCAACACTAGGATGGCCGCCCACTCTACATCGAGCAGCTCGGCAACGTCGACCTGACCGCGCTCGGAAAGATCACCTCCCAGGAGCGCATGATCCAGAACCTTGTCTGCGAATACGAAAAGATGGCCGACCCCCGTCTTCCTGCCTGCTCCCGCAAGTCGGGCTACCTCCTCGAGACATCTTGCACAATCATGGACCTGAAGGGCGTTGGTATTGGCAAGGCTACCTCTGTGTACGGCTACCTCGGCGCCGTCTCGCAGATCAGTCAAAACTACTACCCCGAGCGTCTGGGCAAGATGTACATCATCAACGCCCCCTGGGGTTTCTCGGGCGTCTTCAGCGTAGTCAAGAAGTTCCTCGATCCCGTCACAAGCGCCAAGATCCACGTTCTCGGCAGCGGATACCAGAAGGAGTTGCTGGCGCAGGTCCCAGCCGAGAACCTGCCCAAGGCATTCGGTGGATCATGCGAGTGCGAGAAGGGCTGCCAATTGAGCGATGCAGGCCCATGGTGGGATGCACAGTGGGCAAAGGAACCCAAGTGGGCCAAGAAGAGCGACGATGCGATTGACAACACGGCTCTTCCTGCACCTACTGAGGGCGTTGCGGGTACTGCACCAGCTGCGCCTGTCGGCACCGACCCTGCTACCGCACCTGCGCCTGCCACTACCTAGGCGGAGTGTGTTCTCGAAGCAGGAAGGGGTGTTTAGAATGTCAACGGTATGGCGTAGGGGCGTGATGTTCGAAAGGGGGTGCGCTGATTGCAGCATAGATAAGCGTGGTAGGTGTTCACGCGGCGGCATAGCAAGTGTAAAATGTCATCATACAGGTTTCAAGAGCAACTAGCTTCCAACGCGCACACCGTTTTGCATAGGACTCATGTGTGACTACTGATATAGAAGCAGCTAGATCTGGTCACGAATGTTGGTCATCTTCGACTCAAGAGCCTGGTGTTGTATGGCGCCTCAGTGAAATCCGCAAGGCGCCAAAACCTTCATATTCACTACTTGCGTACTATGGGGTCTAGTGTAACGACCGTGCGAGGGGGAACGTCCGTACAGATTGCGATTTTCTTCTCTCTTATTTCCACCCTCCCTAAACGCTGCACCTCAAACCGCTCATCTTAGGTGCCAACCTACAAGGCAAACTTTTCTAACTCAACCCTACAATGCGTCTGCGCGCCAGGTATGCTAATGAAAGAAGAAGCTACGACTCTGCGTCCGACAGATGCGATGTCGACCCTGAGCCCGACGATGCTCTTCTCCGAAAGTCACCAGATGCGGATGACGATATTCCCTCATCGATTTTAGATAACGATATTCTCTCACAGAGTTCAGATGAGGATACTATCTGCGTCGTTGTCGGTAAAGAATCAAATAAAAGGAAGTTCTTCATGGACCCGTACCGCATCTGTCATTGCAGCAAGTTCTTCCGCAACGCCTTGAGGGGGGGGATGGAAGTCAGCACAGACTCTCAAAGTCACTTTGAAAGAAGAGGACCCTAGGATATTCGCTTGGTATCTAGACACACTCTATGTACGCATGCTCACACGGTCAGCGTGTCCATATCTTGGCTAACGAAGAGTACATAGAACGGCACCAAGACATCCTTCAAAGGTCAGCCGTGGTCTTTCCAGCCCATGAGCGAGCTCTACGTCCTCGCTGAGATGCTCATGGACGACTCCACTAAGAAGGTTATCCTGGCGGCCATTCAGAAACGATGCGAGAGCCCTCAATTCGGCCACTCCCTCCCGGAGCCATCTGCAGTGCGTACTATCTACGACGGTACACCCGAGTCGAGTCCCGCGCGTCGTTTGATGGTTGATATCTTCTCCCAACGTGCAAGTAAAGAGCGCATTGAGCACTGGACGACGGAGAACTTGCCGAAAGACTTTCTCCTCGATCTGTCGGTCAATCTCATCGCCCAACGTTCCCCTCTAGATGACGATAATAGGGGACAAGATGAGGGCAAGAATGCTAAGAAGCGTGCAGCTGAAGAATCTGACGACGAATTAGCCCTCTATCTTGACTCGCTAAAGTCGCTTCCAAAGGTGAAGAGGAAGATCGTGAAGCTGAAGTTGCGTGCCGACGGCCATGATCGCCTCGCCTTTCCTGACAAGTACTCCGTGCTAGCCGATGCAGACTCGGGAAATACAAAGACAAAGGTCACTCTTGGTCCCCAACACGATACCGCATACATCAGGTAAGCTCTTGACAGTAGGTAACGCAAGCGGACATTACACTGACTTCTGCAGGGCTGAGCGCACAGCCGAATGGCAGACAAACATTAGCAACCTTCCAGGTGGTCCTGTTAAGCCGCAGATAATGACCGATGACGGCAGGAGTTGGTTCGAAACCGATTGAGAGTAAACGAGTCGATTGAGGAATAGACGCTATAGTAGAAGAAATATTGATGCTATTCATTCGTAGGACACGACTACGGATTCTTGGGAAAACAACAACGGCAGGAGGCTGGATGTGTTTAGTCCAGTCAATAAGACGAGAATAACTCTGACACCCGGTTCTGCACCTCGCTCACCACTTAGGAGTCTGTGCTCATCGCCGAAAAAGATGCTCAACTCAACACACATACGAAGTGATGAAGTCAGAAAGCTTTTGATAGATTACCAGGTATGTTGCTATCATATAGATCGGCAGCGAAAGACCCGTGGAGTGACACATGCCACCTCAACCCTGTAATCGCCATGTTCCCTCAAAGCGATGCTCTTTCTCGCCGAGAGCAGTCGGGGAGAAAGCACGTAAAGCACACACCCAATAAACCATGAGACAACTAAATATACCGCTACGCCGTGCTCCAATATAACATGCATCCCACAAAGACAGTAGACCGACTTACAGTTTTGTGTTCTTTGACTCAGACCGCCAACAAACCATGTCGTAGCGATTTCGGATTCATAGCGTCCTACGACTAGATACGGTGCTTCTCCGATTCTGCATAGATTGTCAGCATTGTGAGTGGTATGTGATGGAATGCACTACTAACCGAGTCGCGAGTACAGCATGTATAGTGCCATTTGGTTGCATTCTTGTGTACCCGTGATGGTAACAAGACGCTCGTTGCTGTTGTCGGTGGGCTCGTTGATCTTGATGACACTGCCACTGAGCTGGCGGATTTCATTGATCTTCGCACCGCCCTTGCCAATGATGGCACCGACCATGTCGTTGGGAATGAAAATCTGCTGGGTAAGAGGTTGGCCAGGCATGCCACCAACAGCTGCGTGTGGAGCGGCACCACCATGCGCAACAGGCGCTGCAGCAGGGTGACCGCCGTAAGGAGTGGGCGCTGCAGGACCACCATAAGGACCACGGCTAGGCGAGCCAGCGCCGTAAGGCATGTTGGGGTGACCGTACGGCGATTGCTGCGGAGGCTGTCCATGCTGCATATGCGGAGCACCATATCCTCCGTGAGCGGGAGTTCGCTGGGGTGGTTCTTGGCGACGGAAGTTCTGTGGGTGAGAGTACTGACCTCCGGCGGGCTGAGGAACGTATGGTTGAACAGACATGCCGCCTGGGACGACGTTGGCAGCCATACCACTACGGGTTGCATATTGGGATGCAGCCGGTCCACCGAATCGCTCGGTCAGCTGCTCGACCAAGGTCTGAGCGACATAGTACACAGCAATGTGCACAGCGTCAGCAACACCCAGTACGATCAACGAACGTTCGCCAGAGTTGGGAAGGAGAGTGTCAGATGCGTTCAACTTAGCGTTAGAAGCCTCTTGGATCTCGCGGATGCGGACGCCAGCCTTTCCGATGATGGAACCGATAAGGATATGAGGAATCAGAAGACGCATAGGGTAGGCCTTGGAGGTGGATGTAGAAGGTGTCTCGAGGTCCTCCTGGTTGAGGGTGCGCACAATGAGGCCGAATGCCTTGGACACAGCATCAACTTGGCCGCTTACAGTAAGGATGCGTTCAACAGCGCCCCGAGAGTAGTCGCTAACGGTGCACTTGGCGCCGGACAAGCGACGAATCTGAGTCACATTTTCTCCGCCCTTGCCAATGATGGTAGCGGCCTCGCTGGTGCCAATGCAAGCGCGCACATGCAGCCAGTTGGTCTCGTCCACCTGCTGGTTGTGATTTACAGGCCGTCCATTAGCACCTGATGTGGATTGGATAGGCTGAGTCTCAAGGATAGAGGGTGCGTCTGGGACAACAGTGTCGGTGTGGATCGGCTGGGCACCGTTCTCGACAGCAGCTTCAGCCACTTCGGGTACCACCTTTACGTCCTCTTGTGTGATGCCTTCGGTGGCGATGTCGTCGGCCTGGACTGGTTGCGCGATATCGATGTTGTCTGGGTTGGGCGCATCCTCCTTGACCATCTTGTCGAGAGCAGGACGCTTGGCATCGGGTTGGTCATTGGGTCCGGCAGGCGATGAGGGTTCCTCGAGCGGTCGCTTGGCCGAGGAAGCCGCGATGGTGGGTGAGGCGGACATGTTTTCTGTTATGAGTTGTGGATCTTGAATTTGGAAACGGGTATGCACGCTCTTCACAGTCGAGGAGCGTTCAAACGGGAAGGTGAGATTTGTTCAATTGATCTCGATTATTTGCGACTTTATGTACAGCGGGGGCCGTGAAAGAAAGCGTGCTGTGAGGGCGGGCTGGAGGGAGTCGCGACAGTGCGGTGAAGGTGCGAGGAGGTAACGTCGCCGGGAGCTTGAAGGAGTTTGGAGCGTGCAGAGGGTGCAGTGGTCGGAGGAGAGAGGCCTCGGGAAGCGAGGAATCGGGTATGATGGTGCTTGTGATGGAGCGGGAGAGTCGGAAAGGGTGTGTGTTTCTTGGGACGAGGTGAGGTCGACAGAGGAAGAAACTGGCCCAAGTAAAGAAAGCTCGCTCGTCAAACCTTCTCGGCAACGGTCCGGCGTCTCAGGTGCGGAGAGCTCGAGGTTGCGCGCTTTCCTTCTCAAACGAGAAAGCAATGTTAGAAGAAGGGGTGGGTCGCGATGGAGAAGGAACTGTGGGCGATGGTTGATAACAGCAGGTCGTTTGTCGCGAGGGAGGAGGCGCAAACGATGCAAAATGGAGCTATCGCGGGGAGATCGGCGCTAAGTCTTGGCGCGTCACGTGTGGTACTACGACTTTCCAAGGTTATTTGTAAATGCAGGCAGCACAACGACTGAAAGACTGTTGAGTCCTCGCGGTGCAGCGGGAGCCTTGGTGAGTACAAAGTCGAAAGGGGTGAAGTTCTCCTCGCTCGCCAGGCACCACTGGCCCATTAGCGACATCGGTGGACCGCACTTGAACACACAGCCGACCGGTCGGAGGAATGGCGCAACCACAGAGTGAGAGTCTCAGAAAGATACGCGAGTATGTCGAAGAAGCTCGGGGGCTGCAGGACGATGTCGTGGACTTTGACGCGTCCAGCACCGAGGCGCGTCTGGAGCAGACAGTGAAAGAGCTGCAGGCACGCGTGAAAGAACAACAAGCAGCGCTTGACAAGGTAACGCAATAAAGACGCGTCTAGAAAGGATGATACTGACCAAGTAAAAGTTGCGATCGCAGTCACATGTTGATATAGAGACAGCCGCCTATGCATCGGAAGATCCGCGTCAGAAGCTTCAGCAGCTCGCAGCCGTCAAAGACGCGTATAAACAGTTGAAGCCAACAGCAACGTACCTCCCCGACCAGGGATCAGTTCTGCCTGCATTGTTGGCAGCACGCACACTTCAACAGAATGTCCAAGGAACCAAGGAAGCCATCGCAAACACTCAGAGCCAACTCAGCACAAAGGAGGCCACGCTTCGTCGTGAAGAAGCCAACTTACACGATGCCCACCTTCTCACTCAGGCAATGCAGGATCGCATTCGGCGGCTACGCTCTCAGCATGAAGACCGCTCTCAGAAGACTCCTGCTCAACTTGCACGAGAACTCATCGCAGCAAAGCGCGCAAAGAAGGGGAACTACGACGCGGAGATGCAGCGTCTGGGAGAAGCTATGAACAACTTCATCAATGACTACCTCTCTAGCATGCTTGCAGCAGAAGAGCTCGGCGGCCCTGTCGTAGGCGACATGCTCGACATAGAAGACGACACTCTTGCTGCCGGTTTCACAAAGAAAGGACGCGCAAAGTCATCGAAGAAACCAGTCTCAGACAAGACGCGACAGCGCAGGATCGATGAGATCTGGGGCAAAAAGGCTTCTCTCGATGCTGAAGAGGAGGAGGAAGAGCCGCCTACTGAGGCTGAAGCTGCGGATGCAGAGATGCGACAGTTGATTGAGAATCTGTTTGCTACTCTGATGGGACCAGGAGGTGGAAAGGCATACTTTCAACTGGAGCGGGACTCTGCGGCTTCACGTTTCTTGATCAGGGCGAAGATTGCGCAGTTTCACCCGAAAGATGCGAGGAGGTTGAGATTGATTGACTTTGGACGAGAGCTGGATGACTGAGGACGCTGCAAACTAATACTGCGGTCATCAACGCGCAAACCTGAGGAAACTGCATATGCTGAGCATGAAGCGACCTCCACGCATATTGGAGAGGTGTTGCCTCGTTACGAGACGCATGCCCCCCTTAGCCATACATTATCCAAAGCCTTGTCGGTCTCTCGTGTTTATTCAATCCTTCGGTCCATGTCTGCAAAGAGTCCCTCTCACCTGTGGCGGTGCACCTGTGTCCGGTATACACGCCGACATCGTACGTTACTTTTAGGATATGTCAATACCTTGGTTCCGCACAGCTCCGCTCCACACATGCACGCACGCCTCCTGCGGCCCACACATGCATCCCGCGCAACACATCATCCACAAGCCAGGTTTTGGGTCAGGATAACCCGGCTATCGCAAGACGCGCCCGATCTCCTTTCGTCAGTGCAGCGTCCCAAATGGAATCTTGACCCGACTCTCGGAGACACTGTTCCGAAGGGAGTAAATGTGGGATATTGGACATCGGAAAAGTACAAAGAAGGTCTTATCGGAGCAGTGGTATTGAAAGGCTGGGGGTTCGTGCACGTGCGCCTGAACGAAGGATTCCAGGGCAACGTTACCATGTACAATAATATGGCTCAATATGACAATGGGGATCTTCCCGTCCTGGCGCTTCCGCCGAGAAAATCTGACAGCAAAGCGATCATAGCAGTATCAGCACATGGGTGAGCATGTCTGTACGAGATTCATGGCTGCGAGGCCGCATCAGCTGAAGGTCACCGAAAAAGCACAACACCCGTATTCAACAACTAGCCCCCCATGGTCCTCTTCGGAGATCAAAGATAGAACCTTGGAAGAAGCAAAAAGCAGGTGCATGGAAGAATCGCCGTATGTATGTCAAAGTTCCGAAAGGGACTGCCGGATGGAGCACGCGTCCTGGCGCTGTCAAAACCAAGTACCGTGCAGGTGACTACCTTGAGGATAACCTTGCAGCAACGCACACCGTGGGATCGAAACATGAACAGCTGCACACGGGGCTAATGCAGAGATGCATCAACGTGGCTCCTGTAGGAACAGTCTCACACCTTACATTGTCGCTTTTCTCCAATGCGCCCACTCGGCAGTCTTCCAGGCCTGCGTCAGTGGCTGATGCGCATGACAGCTTTGTCCAGGCCCTTGATTCGTTGCGAGTCGCAAACGAGATAACCACGATCCCAAACGCGTTGTTTTGATTCGAGGGATATTAGGTGCTTTGCTGCTACCATTTCAGCCGGAGGATGCGATCGCGATTGCGCGCGTAGCCTTGCCAATGCAGAGCGGCGGGTGGGAGATCTCGCGCTGGCTGACTGCTGCTTTACAGCTACCGGGCTGTGGGAAGCGAGCTGTGGAGACGGCGCCGAATTGTGCTGGCCAGATCTCCATCAAGTGCAAGCCTGGCCTGTCTATCCTGAAACACTTGTGGGTGATCAGGAGCTTTTTCTGACCGCATGTATGAAGTCATCGTGGAGCAAAGTGCAAACGTCTTTGTGACAGCGGGCATGAAGACGTTTTTTCGGCCTCTGTTCTCCGCGGTAATTTGGGCGCCATCCATGCTCGAGCCACTCGTGCGCACCCTCGTGAACGAGAAGCGAACAGGGGCTAGGGAAATTGCTGATCCCGCTTTTTTTTTCACCCACGCAGAATCTCATCCGAAATCCGGTGACTTCATTATGCATGATCGATTCACATATGATCGCAATACGGGGCTTCTCCCTCAGATTTGCATTGTTGACGGTCCGATAGTAAAGCCGACTTTTGTGAAGACATGGTACCATCTTAGTAGTTCTTGTTGCGCGGGATTTGGATCTGGGATCGGTAGTCCTTCCGATGCTCTAGCGTGTGGATGCGTACCAAACATGCACCATCTCGTTTTTGGCGCTCACGAGACCCGATCCTACCTTCCAGGAATGCATAAGTGTACCCATGTTGTGAAGCTAGACTGCTTCGCACAACCCCTCGATCTAGCACAAATCGCAATACCTAACCTCCACGTAACAGCATTGACAATCTTCCTAGTCTGCTTGATGCCCAGATGGGACTTACCGTAATGCGCAGTGCGGAATACTAGCGACTCTCATAGGCCCATCCAGAGCGGCATTTCATCGCTGTTTCAGCGCAGTGGCTGTGCGAGCTCACCATTGCTTCTGTGTCATCGGAGGCGTTCCGTCTGGCAATTGGGCTGCAGAGTCAGATTAAGCAAAAGTACACAGTAGCCAGCATACGCTAGGATCTGTAAACTACGGCTGATATGCTTACCCTACGGCAGAAGCGGGGTACCAACAATCTAGATTGCAGAGAAGATTGATATGTCGCCGAGTCTCCTGGAATTGGAATTGCGCTTGCTGCAGATGAAGCATGTTGGCATGTGAATTGATCAACGCCGTTGTGAGGGGTACGTAACACCTATCTGTGGCGGTGCAAACTCCTTCGGATTGCGTCTCGGTACACTTGCGTCAAGATGCACCACTGGGGCATTGACTAACCTTTTTGATGCCTCATAAGACGGGGAAAGAAAAATGCTCCATACATCTGTCGGCCGTGAGTCACAGTTCATCCATGTGCGCATGACACCTGCGTCAGCTGGTCGGACGTGTTCCACCATGTGGCACATACCAGCGTTCCCGAAGATGTGGCGAAGAAGGGTCCAGCCACAAGCACTCGCCACTTCCCGTCTCGCTTGAGTAGACAATATGTCGATCTCCGTGTAGATCCAGCATGCTCATTGGCTGTCACATAACGGTTTTCTCAGATAGCTTACACAGCCGCTATGATTAGAACGCCTCATTCCAACGTAGTAAAGTGGTCGATCGCTCGGATGCTTATGTAGTCGGTTCCGGTTCATGTTGCACCTTCGCTCCGTGATGCGCTTGGAAGGGAGGGTCTTCGGGGTCCGCGATAGGCTCTGCAGCGTTGCGAACGGTGGCGAACTTGTTGGAGCACGTCGGCTAGCTTTCCGTTGTGCTAGCGAGCTGTTTCTCCCGTTTGAGTACAGCTACGGGAGAAGCAACGGCAGTACCGGAACACTCTCCTTTGCAATCGTCCGGACGGCAAGCCCAGTTGCTTCCGAAAATATGCAAATATGTATCTTTTCCTTGTATCATCACGCCACACCTGCATGGCACTTGCTCGGATACTGCAGATGCCCTAGACTATTTGTTGGAGCTGCAATCGGTACGATGGATTGGCGTTTCATAATTGCGATTGAATGAGGCAGCTACTCAGCAATAGACCTGCGAGTAGATCCGTTCGGTCCGTTCTCATTTGACGCGTCCTCTGTAAATGCCAGCGCATCTTTTGGACCCTGTTCATTCGGTCTGACTTATCGTTTTCTTTGGGTGTACCATGGTCGTGATTCGCGAGTCCTTTCCTGCAGTATGACATCAAGGCTCGGCCGCACAATCCTTTGGGTCGGGTCCCTGTGCTATCGGTATCGGCTACCATACCCACACTTCCCGCCAGCCCCCTCAATTACTCGCGTGGCAGGGGCCCCCGCCCAATCGCTGACAGGTGTACCAAACACTGTGTCAACATTGTCGAACTCTATGTTTTGCAAAGCGAAACCGATGGCAATCATCGCAATAGCCCTTCCGTGAATGTGTCAGTTGTTACTCGCGCAAGCCACCCATTTTCCAGAGCCCCTGTTTGGATAGCAGCGTGCGTAATTTCCGGAGACAATAGCGTGTCGGATGCTTGTTATACGCCAAGAGACTGAAATATCACTCGATGGGTCTGACATGGAGAAATCTGCCGTGATGGTGACGGTCGGAACAAGGTTTCTAACTTGGGAGGCGGACGGGGGGAATGTAGCGATCATCGCTATGTCACAACGTCAGTGGAGATGGGCCGCGGCGAGCGGCCCTGCTTCGGTCGGCCAGGGTGAGAGCGTGGACCTGACGAAAATTGTACAGGGAAGAGATGTCGAAAGATCGCGAGCGAAAACTTCAGAGCGAAAAGGTTTGATTAGGCTCGCAGAGGATATTGGGCATGCGCACTGTAGTGGACAGAGTTGCCATCCTCGATGTATGTAGTAAAGAAATTACAGTCCGAACACTCCCTCGTGTCGCGCGTGTATCTCGCTATGTCTTCATGATAGATCGTTGCTTTGCAATCTTAGCCGCTTGAAAGGTGAAATGGTAGTAGTATAATGGGTATCGTCGTCGCACCGGAAAGAAGAAGAGTAGAAGGTATCAACAAAGGAAATGCAGCAAACGCTCCCAATGGACGCGTGGTATCGAAAGGCGTTGAACGCCAGGCGGTGAAATTGAATCAAGTGATGCCAGTTCAGAAGCATCAGCAGCCCATGGAGACCAATGCAAAGCTCCAGGGTACGAATAGTAAAGGGTCGTGACAATCGGTGAAGTACCGAAACAGGGTATCAATGTTGAAGGAACGGCGTCTCGCAGGCGAGCAGTAGGCATAAAAGCCTAAAAGAGAAGGCGAAGTTCGTAACCGGTCGAATGAACATTTTCCGTGACGCTGATGTCGCCATCAACTTGAATGTCGGTAGGACCCGCGTCCCATTCGCGTTTCATGGCATGCACCGGCGGCGTACCAATCTCGTGGAACTCGGCAGTCATATCCTGTTGCTCGGGTATTCTGTTGACGGCATCGTCGTCCATCAAAATTTGCAGACCCTTCTGGTTGACGCGGATAGTCCGTGTGACCTTGGTTGGCTCGATCTTGATCTTCATTGCGATGCTTGCAACGAGCTCCTTTACAGTACGCTCCATCAGGTAGACTGCGCGGAAGTAGTTGTCGTCGGGTTGCCGACCAGCGAGGCGCGGTTGAACGAAGAAGCAGGCGACGGGCTTCAGCATCGGCTCTGGAGGCGGTTGGTAGGTTTGATCAACCCCAAGGGCTTCAATCCATCCAGACAGTGCGTGGTCATCAGAATATGGCCGTTGAACCTTGGTTGGAACGTCTGCGCCGCCTTGGATGCCATGCATCCCTTTGAGATCACCTGTGGCCGTCTGTGGCATGCTGCGCCATTCATTGGATGACATACGCGATGGTGGCTGGTAGGGCGCCGGACGCTGGAAGGAGGTAGTCCGGCGCTTCTCGGAATGAAGAGACTGAGAGCTGGGGGTTGGCGACACAACAGACGAAGCTGCTGTCTGCGACTCGGGAGCTTCCCACATAGGCGCGTCTACGTTGGTGTCGAGCTTAGAGAGTTCTTGAGGAGTAGCGCCGAGGATCACTGGGTGAAGGTCTGGATCGTCCTGGTCCTCGCCCTTTAGGTACAGGACACTGACAGGCCTGGTAGAGCTGAACATGTCTTGGAGCGAGGCGAGCTTAATGTGAAGGTCTTCTTCGGCGGGTGCGCGGCCTCCTTGATTGTCGCTTGTCGAAGACATGGACCAGGTCCTCTTGTGTTTCGGTACCTTCCCAGGTCGTTGGCTCATACTGCCCTTGGAGATTGATCCACTGCGTTTCCGCTTGCCAAAGTCCTTCATGCCAGACTCAACCTGTGCGATCTGCTGCTTTAGCTTGTCGATGGTCTTCTTGACGTGGGCAACATCGTTGGAGAGCTTCCTTTCGGCACCGTGGTCGCGGAAGAGCTTGACTTTGCAGTAGCAGAGCTCACCATCTGGCTTTTGGGGCGACGATCCAGTGGCTTCGGTGACCATTTCAGTCTTCGCGCATAGCCGGACGGGAATGCCTTTGACGCCCTTGGAATGGCTGAAATCGGTGGAGAGAAAGTTGAAACGCACGGCTAAGGAGCACTCGGGTGAGGAGTTGTGGGTTGGTGTCCAGGTGACCACGAAGCCATCGAACGAGGAAGACTCGAGTTCAACCCTGGGTCGTCCTTGGATCTCGCCGCCGCTGACTTGGCTGGGATCCACAAACTCAACTGCTTGAAGCCGCCCACCACGCTGGTGGGCCTCGTTGGTTCCGCGGCCCTCCTTCCACAGTTGCCAGCAGGATGCCGGTCTCTGGCGCTGCTGTTCGTCTTCGAACGAAATGCGGATGAAAGTCCTGTACTTGGTCGATGGAGACGGTGCTTGCGTAGGCGCCGTGTCCACCAGGGAGATGGAATAGGCCTGTCCCTTGTTCAAGTAGGTCACAGGGACTTCGTCTGATTGCTTGATCATGGCCGTTGGAGCATTCAGAGTAACATGGTAGCGGAAGCTGGAAGAGTCAGTATGATCATGGCGTGATGCAGATGGGGTGACCGACTTTTGATTGGGTGGAGGGGGTGCTGGTGCGACTGCAGCCGCCATGCCGTCGTAGGAATGGGGTGCGTAACCGATCAGAGGCGACTGCTCTTGCATCTCGACTTCGGGGACCATGTTGTCCATGGACGAGTCCTGGTGGGTTTGCGTCATGTTGCCCTGGTCGAATGCAGAAGGCTGGTGCGTGAACTGGTGCGGTGCAAATGATTGGGAATGCTGCGGCTGCATGCCAAAGGGATTGACATTCTGGAAGTGATGCGACCCCAGGGCGTGGGGATTGAAGCCATGGAGATGGTTGGCAGGCGCGACCTGGCCAGCGTGCAGTGCGCCTTCTGAAGTGGGAAGCGAGAGGGGAGTTCCTAGGCCAAAGCTGAAGCCGGGCGTGTGGAGGTCGCCGGCCTGGCTGTGGTAGAGCGTGTTGGTGCCGCCGGGCGTCGGGGTGTAGTAGCCCGGCGGTTGGTTTGCGAAAGAGGTGAATGCGAAGCTGTTGGGGTCGAGCAGTGACGGAGTGAACCTCCACGGCTCATTGTTCCCGCGCGGAGTCGGGTCCTGGTCCTTGATGTCCTCATGGTCGAGGTGGCTGGAAAACATGGAGTTAGCAAAATGTTGGGTGCAGGTGCAAATTGGGCGTCGGCGTTGTTGACGTTGGTGATGGTGCCGAGTGACATGGGATGGGGGGATCTCGGAAAGACGTACCGGGAGGGGTGCGCGACATCAAGCGCATCTGCGAGCGTGTGGCCGGGCGGCCCAGCAATCGAGTGCGAACGCTGCTGCAGATGGGGGAACGTGGCCTTGAAGTCCTCGAGGAGCTTTCCGTCGGGTTTTTGGCTGTTGAGTCTGCGCAAGTCAGTATGTACTTGATGACATGCAACGCGACGCGCGCAAATCACATGCGGGCTTGGGCGCGGGCGGGACGACGTACCTATTTCGAAACATGGCATCGGACGCACTCGCGGAGTTAGGTGTGCAGGACTTGCGATTGCATCTGGTGGGACGGTGGGATAAGGTCGGAGACTGAGCAGCAAGGCGTGCGGCGGCCCTGGGTTATGAGATACGGAGAGCAGCTGCCACGAGAAAGACGAGCCTTTGGGGTCAAGCCACACATGTCCAGGGCCGGTGGTCAGACGTCTTTTAGCTAGCAGCTAGCGACCAGAGCATCCACAGGGCCTGACGGAATTGCAAGAGGGCCGCGCGTGGGCATGGGTGGAGCGTCGGGTCTAGGCACACGGTCCCTGCTGCTCTAACGCTACGGTTTTGCATGGCCCTAGGCGGCTTTGGTCCGCCGCCCTACTCTGTGCGCGACGTGCTGCCAGACTGATCACCCACCGCCCGGCCTGCACAGCCACAACCCTACGGCAGACGCGAGCCGGCCAGAAGCCCTCACGGCCGCATGGGGAGCTGATAGTCGCTGCGTCTGTCGCCATCCCGCACTCCAAGCGCACATCCGCCCATGGATGCTGGATCGCGCGGACCCAGCCCGATGTTTCTCGAATCCACTCCAGTTGCTACACCAGTGCGAGGCGCTCGTGCGCGGCTCCAGTGGCTTGATGAGTATTCCGTGCCCTGCCCGCAATTTGCTCGTCGCGACAAACGCTGCTCGCACACTATGCCCCCTTTGTCCTGCGAGACTGTTGCGGCGCCTACGGTGTGCGTTGGCGCCTCAATGCGAAATGACATATGCCGGCCAGCTCCCGTTTCCACTTGTGTCCCGAGACTGCAAAGCCCTGGTCTCGCTCCTGTATTCCACGCGGCAGACGTCTCTGCCGCTGCTCGCCCTACCATTCCAGTCTGCTGCCGGCCGCCTTCCCCTGCGTTCGAGCGCCGGATCAGAGACGAGGATTCCACCCCGCCAATTCGTCAAAGTCTATCGCCCAGGCCAATCCCACTGACGCCCGTTGGCCCTGTGTCGCTTGCGCTTACTCTGAAGACTTAATTCTTAACGTTATTTCACTACCTGTCAGGCCGAGATTAAGGAATGGTTAGCGGGCGTTATCCCGAACGCGTTTCTATCCACCGACTGAACCATCAACGGCTTTCGTCATCGCCAGGCGCTTGGGCTTTGCATCTGGAGCCGTAAACGCATTGCAGCCACAAGAGCGAACGTCACTGCCTTATGCAGTTACACCAACCGCACTGCTGGCTGTTGCATGGAATGCTAGTCTTCCACGGCCAATCGCACTGCTGGGGAAGCCTCGTCCGGTAGGTCCAACGGAGGATTCCACTGACGCAGCGATCCTTGTGTAAAAATAAGTGTGGCAACAGTTACAGACGGTGATCGACAACGGGAACTCTCGACGAATAAAACGCCTCGCGCATTATCAGGTGGCAGAAACCTTTCAGTTAACTCGGCAATGATCGCCCGACTGTGGCACATCTTCGCACTCGCCACACTCAACGCCACACCTTGCTGATCACGCCTCAGAACAGAGTAGATAGCGAACGACGCGTAGGCTTGCAGAATGGAAGGAGCTGGAAAGGCCTTGTTCATGACTAGATGTTGCGATTAGATTCGAACAAGTTCAGAGTCCAGCCGAGTAGTGCAGTGCTCTGGCGTAGTGTCAATAGCCGTACCTCCTGAGCGATGCATTGGCCATAAGCAATCTAGAGTGAGGTCACCTCCGTACAACCGCGTCCGGATAGGTTCACCTCTCGACGCCGCCTTGTCATTGTGACAGCGCTTTGCGGGAAGAGCAGCAGTTGCATCGTCTGATGTGAGCTGCCAGTTTAGCCATAGGCTGTCATCTCGCTAATTGACGCGACTAATTTTGGTTATTACATGAAAAGCACTGCAATCTTAGACTGACACAAACTCCATCATCACAAAGCTGTGACGGACGTACTTGACAATAACCGTCGAATTATTCTCTTTCAAGTATACGGGATTTAGCATAACCCCACCATTTGTTGTAACGGTGTGAACGCTCCGGTCGGGACATTTCATAGTGAATCAATTATCCTTTCTGACGTTGGCGATTAGAATGCGTGGTACCGCACCATGTCTGACAGTCGAATCAAACTCAAACCGACGCGCTGAGTAACCGGCATGAAACACCAATCGCTGCCCGATTTGCCCAACATAACTCTAAGATCTCGATCACGAGTATATCAGACCTCCATTCATCAAACCGATGACGTTTTCTTTGGAACACCATGGCCCGGCCTTACCGAACTTTGTGAATTGTTCACTCGCGAAAGCGAAAGCCTCGGACTACCTCGAGCTGACCAGTGACGATGATTGACTTGCATCACTTGCAGCTCTCGCTGCTGCAATAGCCGTGAGCGTGTTACGCAGTCCTGTTCCACTATGTTGGTTCCTCAATACCGACGGAGAGTCTGGCATACGTAGACTGTTGATCGAACTGTTCCTGCTCTGAAGCTCCGGTCGCATGCTTCCGATCGAGTTTTCGCGGAATGCCGTAATAACACTTGAGCTAGACCCACGGCGGCTGTCTTGAGTCCTTGCATAAACCGACTGGATGCTTGAAGCGGAATCTGCTCGACGGCTACGACCCAGTGTCTGCACAGGACTGGGAATCTTTGAGTGCTTGCCCAAGTCCGCACCCAGAGTTTGGGACGATGAAGTCGATCTGATTGAGCGCGTATCAAGCGCCGGGCGTCCAGTACGCATGAGAAGGGGGGTGTCTGAATCATCAGAACCACTCTCATTGGCCTCTCCATCAAGCGCCTTCAATTCCTCCGTGAGTGCTTCAAGCTGGTCAGCCCCAGGCTCGAAAGAGAACTGTCGGCCATGCTTTTGGTTTGTGTTGAGTTGGGGCTGCGACTGGAATTTTCGGAGGGTGTTCCGCGGCGCAAGGCTTTGGTCAAAATACTCGTATGTTCCATTGTCAGAGCTGGTTTTTTGACGTGGGGTCTGCGTATCATTCTCTTCGACATGTGCCGTCAACTTCTCTGCCGATCTGGTCTGCGAGAACAACATGATGAGGCCATGATTGAAACTGTTCACCTCTAGACCTCGACGTCTTGCGACAAGTGTGCCGAGTGCCCGAAGAGCGACAAGAGCTTCGCATTCGGTGGCTGGCTCCATGCCGGTGTGCTCCAGAATCGTCATCTCGTCAGGCAAAGGGTCGCCAGATCCTCCCGAGAAGCCAGAAGCGACAGAACTAGTAAAAGATCGAGAGGGCCTCGTCTTCTGAATGGCAACGAGATTGAGCTCGCTCTGGACTTTGCGCGACAATGTAAGATTCTTGCTAGTTTGCGGTGGATTGCCTACAGGCAACTCTTCCATGTCGTTGGTGAATTGCGTTGACAGGACGGCCATCTTTCCAGAGGGGGACGACGGCCGGTTTAAAAGCGCTGTGTAAGGTCAGCTAACATACGCAGGGTGTGTGAGTTGGTTTGGTTTAGGAGAGGAGAGTAAGCGAACGTATTTCGCCACCACCACGATAGTATACCGAGAATGTCTTCGCGGTACTATCGGCGGTCGAGTGGTCAGGCGCGAGGGTTGTGTATGCGGCAACGAGAAGTACATAGTACGCCTAAAGACTCACCTCTCTGACTCATTAACTTGATCTCCTGGTCAAGTTGCGCGTGTGAGAAGAAGTCGTATTTCGGTGGGAAACTGTCGTGCGAAATGGTCTTCCTATGACGCCGCACAATACTGTCTTGACGAGCCTGTATGAGTCTTGTTTCTGTTAGTAAAGGAAGAGCAAAAGATTGGACGCTACCTAGGTACTCACCCGGTCATGCCACTGGCCCCACGAGCTATGAGCAGCTCCAAGCGCCGTATCTCCGCACCATAACGATCTCTTGAGCGTGTCCAGTGCTCCTCGGCCTTTCTCCAATCTTTAAGTGTCTCCTCCAGCATTGTACTGAGACACTCCTTCTGCTCTCGTACCTTGCGATAGTCCTCAAACACACGGAAGAGGCCGCTGTTATGCTCCATCGGTATCGGCCAGGAAGCTGTTATCATATGCGATCGGACAGATGTTACGACGTCGAGCGGATCTATGTAGGTCTGGAAGGGCGCTGGTGCATCTTCACCCCATGGCGCAGAGAACGCGAACTCGGGCTCCTTGGCTGTCTCTTTGAAGTTGGCGAAGAGCGACGTGTAGCGAGCGAGCTTGGGCTTCGAGTCTCGACGTAGGGCTGGGGTATCTGAACGTTCACTTGGTGCGTCATCTGCGTCATCGGTGATAGGCGTGGTGTGCGCACCGCCTACAGGAGTCTGTGGTCTGCTGCTCTGCCGCGTCTTCCGCCAGGTAAGTTGAAGCCGACGATCGCTCGAATCATCGGTGCCTACAGGAGTGTCGACGTCAATCTTGAGCGGGGTAGATGTTCTCGGAGGCTTCTTTGGCTGCTTGCTGTGTCCTAAGCGCCAGCTTTTGTTATCGGGCATATTCTCGTCGTCGTCCTTTGCTAGCTCTCTCGATAGATGCGTTGCGACAGAGAGCCCCGGGAGCTGAGATACGAAAATATCCATGGTTTCTGTGGGTCGTGGTTGCCAGTTAGGTGAGATTGCGCGGGGCGACTGTCGAACAGAAGGGTAGGAGTTGTCGACTGGGAAGGCGCGGTCGTCTACAATCAGCTCTCACCTTCACCTCCGCTTCCGAATTTCAGCATGACGCGCTCTCACCACTTATGACGGCTATGGACGGCTTCTCGCTGAGCTCCAGTGCCGTCTTGACAGAAGGCAAGCGTGACCTCGCCCGCTTTCACTGCTCGAAGATGTGAGCTCTTCGCTCTTTCCTCACCCTCTTGTCACCTGCAGCGTCTGGACCTTTCCATTAGGTCACCGAAACTTTGATCAGAGGCAGTTACGCATCGATGATGCTAGATACCTAGGTAGAATCGAATCACGATAGCGTTGGGAAGTCGCGTTTTCTGGGGACGGAAGGAGCATGTCTTGTACTTGACCAGCGAAAGCTTCCACTGTAGTTAAAAACTGTGTACAGCTATACAATATAGATACTGTCGCACTCGCAACTTGATAGAATCCAGATACGAGACGGGGAAACTGCGAAGAATACTAGGGATCAAATATGCCGTCCACGAAGCGCCGGTAGTCAAAAAGAGCGGTCTCACAGACCGGGAACAGAGCCTCGTCTCTCGAACTACGTGAAGTTCATGGTTAAAAATCGCAGAAACGTCATGTTATTGTCAAAGGGCAATCCTCAAGATATGTCTGAAGTCTGCGGCGAAGCGAAGTGTCCACAAACGGCTAGCGCCAGCTGACCAGTTCAACACTCGCGACCTCGGGACAGTCACGGGCGAATGACCATCATTGCACCAACAACGACGAGTTCTGCCCCAGGCTTACGCGTATCGACGTTTTGAAAAGAGCGCAGGTCAACAGATGGTACTGGGCGACTGCTCGCATCGCATTGTGATCTCTGAGATCGTTGCCAAGGGAAGTGCTCTTCCGAGTTTCGGCTGAGTTTGAGTACTGTTTCATCTCACTCCAACCGCTCCGCATCACGGTGCTTATACGGTACTACAGTATCTTAACGAGTCTACTCACCAAGGGAGAAGGATGAATGTGAGAGCAGGCTGAATGCCTTCTTGGACGATACCGAAGTCTGCTCACGTCAACTAGCACGGAAGGCAATTCTACATGATCGCAACCAAGCCGATACTACATATTCCATTGCATCATCGTCATACCCCATAAGGACCTGGGTACAGAAGCCGCGCGTCTCCCGTTCTTTGGGAAAGCATCGACATCCCTCCGACATTTTTGACACACTTCAACACACCTCATCCCCGGCCGTGCCCTTCCCGCAGAACCAGACCGCTCCACTCCCCGCCGTTGCTATGGAGCAGATCGTACTCCTTTCGCTAATACAGTACCAAGAAACAGGCAGGAAAGTCTAGACTCCGGTTTCAGCCTTCTCAGCGCGAGGCACAAAGTAAGGTACCAGGATGACTTTGTGATTGACAACGGCGCCTGATGACGACGACGGCGGTGTGCCTGTATGTCAGATGCGCCGTGACTGGCAGGCTATAAGTTGGAAGTATCCTCAGGCTAGTAGACGCTTTCCTTACTTCAAGCTCACCATCAAGTCAACTTCTTCAAGTCAATCTTCTTGTTTTCCACCCTTTCTATACATTCACTCTTTGTCGCCGGGCGACTTTACCACGTTTACAACTACCATCTACGCTTCTTCTACATCTACTCTCCGAGTTCAATAATCACCTAAACACTATTTCAAAATGAAGTTCTCCGCTGTCATCGCTACCATCATCTCCATGGCCGCTTTCGCCATGGCTGCACCTGTCGCCAACGAGGGTATGTTCTCTTCTCCAACCCAAACCCGATGTTCAGGAGCAATGACTAACAAGAAATAGCAGTCGCCGTCCGTCAGAACCATGGCATGTGTGTCAAGGGCACCACCGCTGGTGTTGAGCAGATCGAGGGCTGCTAGAAAGTTTATACCCATGAGAGGATGTAGAAGACGGAGGAGCAAGATTACCACGAGTTGTGACTGGGGGAGAAGGAATTGGAGGATACAATGGTCATCGCAGAACGGCGGTGCCGAAACGATATAGAAGCGTCCGTTCTGGTTGCGTTCAAGTAATACAAGACGATTGACAAAGCATCACGGTGTGATGGGCTTGAATCACTCTCCACGTTCCATATTTTCTTTGTCACTCGTTAAGCGGAATATCACTCGCATTTATGGTGCTACTTGTTTTCAGTTCTATGTGACAATGATACAAAACGAGTGGTCTAGAACCACTAGTTCATCGGTAGCCTCGCATGAGCCTTGCATACAACGTATCTGCCTGAGCAGCGTTAATAATAAACGCCACAACAGCAAAGGAACTCGAACATTACCTCTCACTCCAAAAGGACAGACTGTGAAGAAGATGAAAAATGCGTAATTAGGTAAGTCCAACATGACCACATCGCTACATAGGTATATAAACGCTTGAACGCTTCCAAGAAAAAATGCAAGATGGAAATGCCAACAAAATGTCGGTCAGGCACTATGCAAAACCATTACTTCCTCCTAGGGGTATGCACTCTCGCTCTGCTGCTTCTTCTCCTTCTCCTTCTCCGCATTCTTCCCCGGTCTGAAAGCATCCAGACTGATCCTCCTTCTTTCCCTGTCCCTGCCCTCATCTGCACCGCTAGATTCGGCCTCGCTTTCCTTCTCCTTTTCCTTCTGCTTCTTCTTTTCCACTTCTTTGATGGCTTCTCCAGTCAATTCTTGCCTGTTCATACGTTCTACTACGTCCTTCTTCCTCGTCCTCTTGTCGCCCAGCCAAATCAGTAAACCGGCTGTGGCATTGCAGGCGATGGAGCAACAGAGAATGACAGTCGTAATGGCAAAGGGACGAACCTTGTAGTAGATACCCCATGTGCACGCGCCGAGGGAGATCTGGAGTAGAGAGTGGCAGTCGAGAAGTACGACGATAGCGACAAGGAAGCGGAGAGGGAAGGCGTAATGGGTCTCCGTCTCGTGGGGTTTGTAGAAGGAATGTGATTTGCAGAATTTGGCTTGATGGTGTTCGAGCTTCTCTTGCTGCTTTGGCGTCAACACGGTGAATTCCCACTGCTTCTCGGGGTCGGCCGGGTCTATAGTGCGTGGTCCAGATACAGGAGCGTGTTCGGCAGGAAGGTCGTTGTGGTCGGTGAGGTCGGGAAGCATGTCCTTCTTACGGCGGGACCATGTGAAATGGTGGTAGTGAGCAATGTAGATCATGTGGTATGTGTCGACACAACGGAAAGGTGCTAGGCCGTCCCCTACAACAGCGAAGAGAGCAACGAGAACACTGTCAATGACGTGGACGACGTAGATCTGCTGTCCACCGACATTAGCCCAGCCGATGAGGAAGAGCACCCAGGCCAAGCCGAATGCGGTGATGAGGAAGGCGTAGAGGGTGACTAGGAAGCCAAGTGCTGTAGATTGTCAGTAATGGTTGAGAGTATAGTGGTACAGATACTTACGTCTCCTGACATACATGCCGAATCCCTTGAGCGAGCGCTTCATCTTCGAGCGTCTTGAGTGGAGCATGTGCCGTACGTGGTCGTTCACCTCTTTCTTGTCTTCGACGCTCCACCCAGACAAGTCAGTATCCTCAGGAAGAACAGCGAAGCGCGACTCAGTAAGCTGCGAATCTATCGTCATCATGGTGGCCGTCGTGGTCTCAGTCGCCGAGCGCTGGAATCTGGGAGCCGCCTGGGCCGCCTGAGCCTCTGCCTCCGCCTCCGCCTGAGCAGCACGAGCGGGTTCCAGTATGCGGTTGATCTCTTCCAGACTGTCGGTCTCGCTCTTCCGTCGCTTGAGGTTGTAAGTGGGCCGACGGTTCAACCATGGCAGGTTCGGAATGAACAGCGAGTTTTGCATATTCGTCAAGGAAGTAAGCGTCGCGACTTCGGGGTCGATGGTGTCAAGGACATCGACCATGCCTGAGGTGTAGTTGGACGGCATGGCATCTTCCGCTGCAGGAGCAGGAGCATGAGCGCTTGTCGTCGGCGACTTCTCCTCCTCCTTAGTACCCCAAAAGGGTATTCTAGTCTGTATCGCGCTCTTGACCTTCCGTAGTCGACTTCTGTCCGGCTCTGGGTTGTTGAGGGTACTCTGGCTACCGTTGGCGGAGGAAAATTGTCCCAGCTCTGCCTCCTCGTCCAGCGCAGGCAAGGGCGTGCTTGCTCTTATTATAGAACCCTGTGGTTGCTGTGCGGATTGTCTTAGGGCGTTGGATGAGGGCATACGCCGTATGCCGATACTGGCTTGACGGCCGACTTGCGGTCGTCGTGGGTATTGCTGGGGTTTGGTCGGCGCCGAGCTGCTTCTTGCTCGTTGCGCGGCAAGAGTACTTGACAAAGGTCAGCATCGCACTCTCCTCTTTCTCGTGCCTAGAGCATACCTGTACGTGACATGCGACGAGGGATCGGTTGCCCTGGTGGGCTTGGGGACATGTTGGCCAGCATCGATGGATGACTCTAACGAGGTAGGCGGTTCGATGACAGGTTGTTGTGTTGGCTGATCCGCGGCTGCTCCAAAGTCCTGCGCATTCGTCCCAGGCTCGGCGCTCTGAATTCCTTCGTTGACGGCATGCGTGCTGGAGTTATCGTGGGGTGCCTGAGACTGCTGTGGAGCATGCAGCTCGCCCGTGCCGGAGCCTGAAGAAGTCGCGCCGGCACCTCTGGCGCGCGCGATACGCGTCTTCAACCTCTGTAAATCCATAGCGACCACGGAATTGAGGATGGGGAACGCAAACCCCAGGGCAATTCCCGATAAACATGTCTTTGTGACTTGGAAACGGCCGTGGCCCAATGCAGTCTGGCGGCTGAGGATTGGCTTTTACAAGCCTGGAATTTTGTCTTGGGGGACGTCATATTGCGCCGCAACCACTACCACCCCCTTTCCCCCAAGACGACTCACTCGCATCGCACGCGCGAGTAACCTTCGCGGGGACGGTCCACTAACGCCAGTCAGTGTTTGGACTACAGAGGTTAACGAGCCATCGTAAGGATCTCACGAAACGTACAGCATGTAGGGCGAGGCCGTTAGGGAGACGTGCTCCAGGGAGCGACCTCGACTCCCCAGATCTGAAACTCCGGTTGGCACCCTTGCAATGATCGTTTTCGCTTACGGAAAACCGGATCCTGGGTGTCACATGCACACTGACGCTATGTCTCGCGAGTCGTGGATGTGTTCTGGTCGTTGCAACTACAAAATATTCATTGTTTTCGAGCATTGATACCGTTCTCATCCTCAACTGTATTGACCTAAAAGGCTGCGGGATGATGCAGGGTCCTTTTAGTCGCACTGGTAGCCAGCGGCGGCGGGTACCTGACTTAGCGTATCTTCACGTTCCGCCCAGTACCGCTGGTTTGACGCTTGTCGTCTCATCTCAAGTCGCTATGGCTGGCATACTGACATTCTGCTCAGGGCCTTGAACACGCCTGCAGCATGATTGTGAAGATCATACTCTATCTGCCCTTGACGAGTCGAGAAGTTTGGTTGAGGTGTTGTTTTTTCACATTCCTTCTAACATCTATGACGACATCCATCCCTCCAGGAACCCGAAAGACCAAGAGAGGTCGATCGCAACCCTAAGCGCTTATGAATCGGCTGCGAGGTATGTGTCCAAATGATACAACAACGGTCCGTCTGGTCCAATTCTACGATCTCTCTCCCCAGCGCAGCCGTCGCTAGCTCACGCAAGAACCGTTTCGGCAAATCAACGCACTGGAGTAAATCATGGCCTCTGAGACCGTACCAACTATCAACAATTAGCTCCCTCATTAGATCCCCGCGTACTGTACCTTTGTAGATAATCTTTATACACTCTGGACCAGGGGTTTTGTGAGCAACGTACCTGTCATATTTACGGGTGCTGATTTGCTCATAGAGTGCCTGAGCTGCCAGTTTACGGGTGCTGATTTTCTCATACAGTGCCTGAGTTGCCAGATTACGGGTGTGTAGATCGAGCAGCAATTCAGCTATCACGTATACGTGACATATACGTTCAAGAACGCTTGAGTCATCCTTGAGCGTGATGCGATTCGTATAGACGGCTTCCAAATAGTGCTCAACATCTTCTAATCTCAGCTCAGGATCAACATCGTAAAGATTGATAGTTTTCGCGTCAGAGTTATTCCAGCGGCCACTAAGCGCGTTGGCGAAGAACTTGGATCGCGACGTTATGATGGACTGGTGAACAAACAGCTCTGAACGCTGAGACTCGGCCCCAACGAGAACTTTGATGAGAGGTGAGGAGATGAATCTGGGATGCTGTTAGTAGTGATCTAAATTGATGGGCTGTTAGTACTAAGTACCCATCGACACCTAGTCTTAGTACTTTGACGGGTGTGTCAGAAGGTCTCCATGATTCCGTTAAGGATGTGTCAGAAGCTCTCCGTGATTCCGTTGACATGGTGTTCGTAGAAAGGCAGCGAGGTCGTTAAGCTAATTAGAGAGCTCTTTCTTAAGGAAAAGAGGAAGACGAGAGCAATTATCGAAATTAGATTCGTGTAGTGTTTTCTTTGCGACATCTAGCTTGACAAACTTTTGGGACCTTTCACTAACCACTCGGCGGCTTGACCACCTGAGGTACAATCTCAACCCAGTAACCCTGATAGCTGTTAGCAAGCCATTTCCCTCATGTATTTCCTTTCACTAGTTGGCGTCCACTTACATCCGGGTCCTTAACGAAAGCGAGCTGTTTGAAGACATGCTTGTAGCCATCCGGTACCTTCCCGTGTTTCCCTTCTACAGCCTCCGCGGGTAATCCCATCTGTTCTTCTTTCGCCTCATCAAGTGGTTTGATGATTTCATAACCAAAGCCTTTGATCCTTTCCAGTGCCTCAGCGACATCTGGTACTGTGAATCCAATGTGACCGAAGCCGATTCCCGCCGAATTAGAGTAGTCATTGCCAGAAGTATACGGCGTAGACGCGTCGGCAGGAATGTGATACAATTCCAGCAAGCCTTTTGAAGTACCGAGAGTGGCAATGCCTGTGAAGGTCTGAGTGTTTTGTAGGAGATATGGAGTGGATGAGTGTACTTACCATTATCTCGTGGTCCGAGGTAATATATCGTAAATGGACCAGCATTGAAAATGAACACAACGTGCATCCCCAGACAGTCACAGTAGAATTTCAAGCTTTTCTCTGGGTCTTTGATGCGCGTCATGAGATGATTGAGGCGGTACTCGACAGTTGATGGGGAACTCGGTCGTGGCGGAGGAACAATGTGTTTGCCGACCTCGTATGGACCTCGTGGATAGTTATTGTTAGAAGACGCCATGACTGTGTTCCTACGGATACCCTCGTTCAAAGCTTGCGTTTCTTGGGCAACCTCTCCGGCATTCATAACTACTTATATGTCGTTATAGTTTACTAGTCTCAGTAGCCACATGTGGGGCATGTGGGGTAAGCTTGCGGCCTTGAACCCCTACGAGCAGATGCTGGTTGGATACTGTGCTTCTTCTCTGGATGTTACACACTTTGCATGCAGCGCGCCTAGAGAATTCGTGGACTTTCTTCTTGGGAGAAGGGTGGCGCTTTCAGCTACACCCAAAATACGCGTCACACTAGATAGTGGCGCCGATGAAAAGGGAGAACCCATAGATGTGATTGGGAATACTTTCAGCTGAGCATTCTTCTCGATAAGCTCATCATCCCAGAATTATATCCCGGCGGCTACCGGGAAAGCACAGGCGAGGATGTAGCTCAGTTCTTTCGCCGGAATCTACGCTGCGGACCGACATGACCCCTATGCGCTCCGTCGTTCCGTCTCTAGTACGCGTAATCAGAACATAGTCTTTGCATATGACTATGCCCGTGAATAGGTGATTGCAGAGCGAGTAATGTAACTCATCGTCGACATCACCCGTGACATCCAATAGCCATTCATGATCCTCAAAACTGCGCTCGCCAGAGCCGGATATCATCTCAACACTACCGCGTGCTGCGTACGTTGCGTCTTTGTATGTGCTGGTTTGACGATCAAAGATGTGTGAATGCCGACGCCGTTTCGTTGGGATGTAGGCGAATCGAAGGTAGAGAACTTCAGCAAGTATGCGCAACTGATAAGTGTAATCGAGCGCAAGATCACTGTCATTCTCGAAAGCCATCTTCACTAATTCTTCTGTCAGAGGTTCATCTGTTCCATCGAACTTGATTACATGGACTTCTACTGGCAGTATATTGTCCCAGGTCAACGGAGATGTGCATGGCCACAGAACAGGAGCAATCCAGCCCGCCCAGGACCAGCTAGGAAAGCCTTCTCGCCGCACAATTTTCGAGGATGTTTCCGGATTGACAACCCAGCATAGTTCCCGGCAAAACGCAGCATTGAGCTGATATTTCACATCATCCAACTGAACCCCGTGAGCCCAAAGATGAGACCACATCCTAGACCTGGATTGGATCTCGGTACAGGCAGTCATGGTGTACGGTATGCCCCAATACTGATAACACGGGTTGTTTTGGGTGGAGAACGACTGGAAGAGGCCACGCATTGCGTTTAGAACGTCCGATTGATAGCTCAATGCTCGTTTCGTATAGCGCACGATATGCTCGCGGAAAGGATCGTCCCAAGTGCTTCGTATATAGGCGCTGCTCCGCCCGATAAACAGCCCTGTTGAGCCAGATGACTTCTCCGTGGTGACTGACTCGAAACAGCTCATTTTGTTGCACTCAAAGATAACCTGCTCCTCAGCGAAGATGAGCTGCAGGCGTGAGTAAAACTCCTCTTGATACGTCCTGCACGGTAAGAGTTCATGGTCAGTACTGATGCATATGTATAAACAAGGTAACTCACCAAGCTCTTTGGTACCAGGGTGATTCGCGAATGGGTGTTTTGAAGTCGTCTAACCCTGCTACCCATGTCATGCCATTCAACTGAATGGAAGGAGGCGTAGTCCGACTTCGACCACCAACACCGGGTAGTCCATAATCAGAGTGATCACCAGCTGCAGCAACGATAGTCACTGCTGCCGCAGAATAGATCATAGCCATCATAGATAGCTGGCTTTGTAGTTGATGCGGATCCGACTGCTGGTCGAAACAATATCTTGGCGGTCATAGTCAGCATATGCCCAACATGTTCTTCTGACGTGATTCCTACGCACTTATCGCACCACACATATCGGTAGCCAAGCTCAAGGGTGACTGTCATTGCATCCTTGATCGTTTCTGGCAGGTTCAACAAGCTCTCCGTGGCAGTGCCACAGCTAAGGACACTGTCGTGTTTATTGGAAGCTGACAGTCTACCCCAAACATAGCTAAGCGCAACATATTCCGCACCCGGAGGTGCTACGATTATCTTGCGTGACCTGCAGTCGATGACTTTGAGTGTAGTTCTTCCTGGAGCCCACAGCTGAGAAGTCTTGCCTTGATGGGAACATGTATCTCCATGGTAGGTCTTACAGTGCGTAATCCACTTTCGTAGCAAAGGATAGTCAATGAGGTTCTTCGGTAGTGTACGGAATCGCAGGTTCTCATGTCCGGACTCTGGGAGAATGAAGCGGGATACAGTGGAATCCTCTGATTGGACGTAATAGTTCCGGAATGAGAGATCGCGAGGTCCTCCAACTGTTGACGGTCCTCGATAGTCCAAGAGCCAAAAACGGGCTGATTCCCTGATTGTAGATGACGAACACTTTCCGTGCAGTATAGCAGCAAAGAACAGACACAGCGGGCACTTGGAACCGTTCCTGACAACTAGCCTCTCATTGCACACCCCGACTGGGACAGTAAGGCGAGATGCCAAATGTTTGCACTGCATGCAAAGAGGAGGGGTTCTCGACTCCCTTGGAAGGTCGATATCGCGTGCAGAGGCAATGGCGTTCATGTTGTTGGTGTTTCGGCAGAGGCGGCGTAATATCCACGACGTCTAGAATAGGGAAACGCACCCTTATTATGTCGAAAGTCCATAGCAATTCTCATGCTATCTGCTGCATGTATGCGTGGCATTGCTGCTTGAAGTGTGGTGGGGTAGGAGGCTCAGTCCCGCGCGTGAACATCGAAGAAGCCCCGAGGCAAGGCCATCAGAACGCGCTAGCAGCCGCCCCGCGAACAAGGGTCCAGCGGCAGTCCAAAGTTTCGAGAAGGAACATTTGCGCCGCCTCAACACCACCACATTACCGTCAACATGGAGTTCCAAAGAGGAGAGCGCGTAAACTTGAACTTCGATACCGGTGCAGTCGAGAAGCTGGATCAGGAAGAACAGCATGAGCTCCCCATGCCATCATTCCCCACTTTCGTGGGCGACATCCAAGAGCGCGAATCATCACCAGCTAATCCCCCAGTTGCGCCCTCGTTCAAACCGAATGTGAATGGTTTCCCGGCGCACAAGAAACGCGTACCCAGAGTATCGGCTTTCAAACAGCAACGCGCCGCAAAGGAACAACAAGCTACCGCGCCACCGAAAGCGCCGGCAACGACGCAGGATGCGCCTAAGCCGCGGAGCGCATTCGGTGTGGACAGGGACGAGGAGAGAAGGGCAATAGACGAGGAGAATAGGCAGACGCTGGCGGCCATGTCAGACGCGGAGATTGAGCAAGAGCGACAAGAGCTCATGTCAAGTCTCAATCCAGCATTGCTGCAGAGGCTGCTCATGCGGTCCAATATTGACCAAGGGAGCAACGAGCAGGACTTTGATACAGAGCCGCCAGCACCAGCAGCTACTGCTACCCCGGTGACTGACGAACCCAAGCCAGAACCTCAGCCAAAAACCCCAAGCACTAAGAGAGTCTCCTTCGCGACACCAGAACCCGAAAACGAAGCGCCGTCACAGCCAGCCTCGACCTCAATACCCACCACGCAACCCCCGTCAGATGACAACACCACATCGACAGCCATGCCCGATACGAACGACTCAATACATTTCCCACAACCTCCACAACCACCCGATCTCGACCCAAACGACCCCTCATTCCTGAAGAACCTCCACGAGAAATACTTTCCCACGCTACCCTACGACCCTTCCTCGCTATCATGGATGTCGCCCATCGACCCATCCGACACAAAGTCGCCCTACCACCCCTCCCAAACCGCCTTGAACCCCGCCGAACTCCGCTTCGATTTCTCGGGCAACTTGCTAGCACCCAGCGTCGCACGATCGATACCCACCGACCTGGGCCTCCACCACCATGCCGAAGCTCCCGAGGCAGCAGGCTACACAATCCCCGAACTCGCAGTTACAGCACGGAGTAAAGTGGCTAGTCAACGGTGCATCGCATACCAAACACTGGGTCGTATCTTATACAGATTGGGGAGAGGAGAATTTGGGGTTGAGAGCACGGAACAATCTACAGATGGGCCAGCAAAGGTGGCCAAAAACCCAGAGGTAGCTGAGGACGAGGATGGAGAGGAGTGGGTGGAAGAGGATGTTGGCAGTGCCATTGCAGGCGGACTGTGGCAGTGCGTTGAAGAAGGGCGGGTGATTGAGACCTTGACGGAAGAGGCGAATAAGGAGAGGGGTCATCTGACTGCACGCACATTTGCTCAGGAAGCGCTGTGGAATTGGCGGAGAGGTGGTGGGAGGAAGAGACAGGCTGTGTGAGCTTCACAATTCAAGCAAGATGACGGATGTACCACTTAGATGTATGATATCACGAGAATTCACCATATGAGTTCGAACTCATCGTTATGCATTACCCGTATTCTATTCATGCCCCATTACCGATACCAAGATGCTTGTCAGCACGACTTATACCTTGTCATGTCCATCGGCATCACAGCATACGCTCAGCGTAGCTCAAGTCGGCTCGCACATCGCGGGCCCACGTCCGATTGATCGGCCTGTCGAAAGCCTTCATAGCTTTTGCCCCTCTTGGGCGGAGACTCCAAACGAACCCCCTTTCTCTTTGCCGGAGAATTAGTGCTAAGAGAACAGTACTGGTCAGCAACCAATACCCTGGAAAGAAGGAGACAGCAGCAGGGGCTCAGAATAGAAGAGAGCTTACTCCTTCTCCACTCCGTCGATAACAGGCACATCCTTCAAGTCTACCGGCTCCAACGCGGGCATCTCATCGTTAGAATCGTCGTCGAAAGTAACATCCTTCATCTCAATATCCTTCTGGGTATCCTCCTCGGTCTTCTCAGGCTGGCGGCACACGGCCTCGGTATAGTCGTCCACAAGATCGGCTCTTATGTACACGACACCTGTGCTGACCTTCGGGCGGTGTGCCTCCTCCTTGTCGAGCACTACGCTCTCCTGCTCGACTTGATCTACATTCTCGTCGTTGTAGACTCTCCACTCGTCCTTGTGGAAGTCGTAGATGTAAATCCAGTAATGAC